GGTTCGAAGCTTTTCAGTCATGGTCCGTGACTCATGGCCGTAGGTAAGAATGGGGATAAAGATCTACTTGAACACCGAGAGCTTAGTTTCCAGACTGAGCTCTGTTTTAGCCACACTGGTTCGAGCTAGTTCGCTCTGAAAGCCACTGGCTACTCCAATTCGACTGTCGGTTTTCGATTTCTTTCTCAAATTTTTCATCACCAATTTAGTACGACTCAGAAGTACTTTAACGTTGCAGGCAAAGTTTAGTGCAAATGTCGTTTGAAAATATATAGTATCAAATGATCTTGAATTCGCTATATATAAATGCATCATGTATGCTGGATATAAATTATTGATCATCATCGAAAAATATGTTACGACCGTCATCGATTGCGTCACTGACGATAGCCGAAACAGAATCCTCATGAGAAAGGTGTACTTTCACCTCTAGACATTCTGCAGCGATCGGTATCAGAGATGAGGAGTGTGTTCATCTAGAGACCTCGTCAACACGTCGCGGTATGGAACCGCCAAAAATTAAGGTAAGGAAATTTAGGACCGTTGTTAGTAAATTGTTTTTGGTTTTTTCACTGATATTTGATTATTTTAATGACTGTTTTGCACTATTGCTTAAGTTCATATCTAATAACGCTTATAAAATGAATGTTTTCACTATTTGCCTTAATAGGGAAATAAAATTTTTTAACTTATAAATAAATGTACTGTAATTCAGTTTGTTCCATTATAAAGTAGTGCACTTCTGTTTTGGTATTTAATAGTATTTATTTGGCAATTTAAAATTTTTCCTCGTTTCTTTGAATTTCGAATTAACCCAGTTTTACCGTGATAATGGATGTGGTTGTTGTTTACCGGGCATTGCTTTTCCTGGTGGCTTTTCGCTTGGCACATGTTTTGGCCCATGAACATTTGAGTAACCACCAGTCATTTAATGGTCGTCGCTGTCTGTAGTCAAACAGGACCTAGAAATTACGCTACTCTTATATTGGGAATTTATTTCTTCAGATTTTATGTACAGTGGCTAATGCATTTTGTTCGTTGCTGCTGTGGCGACCGCATCTCGTGTTTCCGGCAGGATCGCTTGGTTAATTTTTCTTAAAGGGCCTTCTTCGACCTTTGTGTTTAGACATCCTTGTGAAACACATGTTGTTTTGTCCTTGCTTTTAATGTCATGCTAAGTATCCCTCTGTTCGGTGTTAAAGCCTAAAACGATTCAGTGTTAGACATCACCGTTCGCTGTTCTGTACTTATGTTTAGTTTTTCAGCGGTTTGATTTTAATTTTTTTGGCCGTTTCAGCGGCCGATGGCAGCGCGGTGCCCGTCAAGTGCTTCCAGCAAACGGACGGCAATTACCGTGTCGAATACATACCCTTTGCAGCAGGCAAGCATTCATTGTTCACATCTGTCTGTCTGTTTGTCCATGTTCGCATCAGACGGGATATTTTTAGTAACAGCGCTCGTTTTTTAAGCTTTTTTCATTCATTGTTGGATGAAGGCCTTTCGAAGACTTTGCCATAATTTCAGTTTTCTGCCGTTTTCATCCATTTTGATTGAGCGAACTTCTTCACCTCATCCTGCCATTGTCTTGAAGATCTTCGTACTATCGCCGTTTACTACCACCTGGAGCTCAGCTTAATGCCTTTTTGATCCATCCTTTTTACCCATTCATTCGTCTTCCTATCAGTTCTTGTTATACCCACTGTACGTCTTTCCAAGCTGCGTTAATAAACTGCCTCTAGGCTTAGGGTCTACGTTTCGCACCCATAAGTTAGCACTGAGTGCACTCACTTATCAAGGTCTCCATTTTAAAATGCAGGATTATTTTCCCAGAAAAAAGCATCTTCAGCCTTTCAAATGTACACTCCCTACCATGTTTGCTCTTCTGTTGATTTCGCATAGTCGGTTATACGTTGCAGTGATGAGCTGCCCCACAGAGACGTAGACAGGCTCTTTAATATGCAGTGAAATTCCGGTTTAACGTTTCCCGTTGACGAAATTTTTTTTCGATTTTTGATTTCCGACGGCTAGTGAGATCGTCAGCTTCACGTCAGGCAACCGCTTCTCACAAAGATCAGTTAATATGGGTTTGGTTGTATTGAGAAAGTGACCCCAGTTCTCTTTTTAAGGCGCTGGAGGTGGTGGCCGGATGTCAGATTTTTAGGACATTGGTTCAAATTGGAAAGTATGTCATGACGCTGTGATCTCTTTAAATGGTTTTTAGGATTTATAATACTAGAGAATGGGTGCACGACGCTGAGAAAGTTGATTTAAAGGACTTATGTGTTAAATGATGTGATGAATTTGTAGTGTGTCACATTACTGATACATCGTTAGGACAGTGAGGGACGAAACATTAACGGTAATATTTATTTAACAATCGACGTGTTTCGTTGCCTATGCGGGATATATCTACACTAATGCGCCGAAGTTTATCAGTGGACAATGTGACTCGTTGAAACTCGAGCTCCACTTCATGTCGCACCGCCTCTTTGTCTCTGGATGCCTAACCAGTCGAAAAAAGCTGTTTCATTGATCTGATTGGCGCTGCGGTTCAAATCAGCTTGCCTGCGAATAGCTTTGAAAAACTGAATGAATGAATGTTTGCTGCTTGAAGGCGATCGCCAAAGAATTCCATTTTCAGAAAAACAAGAAAAAAGTTAATCCTCACAAATGAATAAGGTTGACAGCGTACATTTTGTGGCATGCAACCGAAATGCACAGTCGCAGAATACATGAACCACGGCCGTGTTGTCTGATGAGTGCGTGTTGCGGTTTCGTTTTGCCTTGCCTTTCCTACCTGATAGCGGATCAGCGGACTAAAAGTCAACACATTCGCAAACTGTCAATAATAAATGAATTGCAAATGGTGTGTCTGTTACATTAACGACTAGGCGAAGATTACGACTGGAGTTGAGTAGGTTATACTGAAGAATATAGTGGTCATGAGTATCAGATGCTGGATTTACTAACTGCATGTAGCGGAGCGGAGGGTATAAAACAGTTGTCTGCATGTTAACGACGATATTAGTCAAATGAGTGTATGACTGCAGAACTGGGTTGTGGCAGTGGTTAAAAATTTGAAATCTCCATCTGTTCTCCGTTCTCCATAAATAAACTTCTCA